CCGGGAGCCCAGCTGTGGCAGCGACAGGTGGGAGCTTCCGGCATGCAGGCCAGGCTGAGGGGGCTGTGCCAGTGGCCCCAGGAAGGAAGCCTGGACACGGCTGCAGGGAGACGGGCTCCCAGCAGGGCCAGGTGGGTGCTTGGCCCCAGCTTAGAGGGAAAGGGACTTGCCCAAGGTGGCACAGTCCTCTGTGGCAGAGCAGGGAATAGGAGCCCCTGGCTCTAGCCCTGCCGCCAGCCTGAGGAGATCTCTCCGTCATGCTCAGTGCTCCCCCAGCACCTCTGCTAGGTCAAACGAACGCAGCCTCTGGGTGTGTCCGAGCAGCCCAGAGTCCTGGCTGAAGGGAGCTCGTTCGACCTGGCAAAGGTGTCAGGCAGCCTGGCTGCTCCACGGGGATCCCAGCATGCCATGCTCCGGGCAGGCCACAGTATTTTCCCCGCTATGGGTTAGTGGCGCCCCTCACCATGCTGCCTGAGCGCCCCGTTGCGGTTAGACACAGGCAGCTGAGCCCAGCACCTCTTCTTGCGTCTCCCATTGGGATCCAGCCATGGCATGGAGCCCACCCCATCCTGTGGCCCTCTGGGCTCTGCATGCCCAGACTGCGTTCAGGCAGCTGTGCCTTCAGGGAACCCAGGTAGAGGAGAAGCAAGTTTGCCCATCTGCACTCTTCCATAGCGAGAGAAGAACTTCCTGGGCATCAAGCCGCGAGGACAGACACCTGGCCTGACACAGCCTCATCTGAGCTAGCCCTTAGCCAACTGAGCCAGCCTTGCCTGGGGTCTGTGTTGGAGAGGTTCTTACAGCGCCTGCCTCAATCAGCACAGGGGCTGAGCACCTTCTGCCAGGGCCCGATCAACATAGAGGGCACCTGTCTCACGGGGCGGTTCCCTCCCCAGGCGGAGACACGGGTGCAGCCGATTCCCGAGGGATCCCTGACTCCCTATGGATTGGATCGAACTCTTGACAGTAGCTTTTGGACTAAGCTGAGCGAGCTCTCAGTGCACATGGGTGCAGCTGGGCTCTCCCATCTTGGGAACAGGGCACCCTGCCCACAGAGCAGGAAGGAACATAAGAACGGCCAGACTGGGTCAGACAAACGGTCCATCCAAGTATCCTGTCTTGCCAACAGTGGCCAATACCAGATGCCTCAGAGGGAGGGAACACAACAGGGAATCCTCACATGATCCCTCCTTGGTCATCCACCTCCAGAGAAACAGGCTAGGGACACCTTTCCTCCTCAATGATGGACCTAACCTCCATTAATCTATCTAGCTCTTTTTTGAACCCCATTAAAATCCTAGTCTTCACCACATCCTCTGGCAAGGAGTTCCACAGGTTGACTATGCTCTGAGTGAAGAAAAACTTCCTTGTTAATTTCATTTGGTGACCCCTAGTTTTTATATTGTGGGAATAAGTAAATAACGTTTCCTTATTCACTTGATTTTATAGCCCTCTACCATATCCTCCCTTAGTCTCCTCTTTTCTAAGATGAAAAGTCCAAGTCTTTTTCATATCTCTTCATACGGGACCCGTTCCAAACCCCTAATCGCTTTTGTCGCCCTTTTCTGAACCTTTTCCAATGCTAATATATCTTTTTTGAGATGAGGGGACCACATCTGTATGCAGTACTGAAGATGTGGGTGTACCAGGGCTTTATATAGAGGCATTAAGATATTTTCGGTCTTATTCTCTATCCCTTTTTAAATGATTCCTAACATTCCATTTGTTTTGACTGCCGCTGCACACTGAGTGGATGTTTTGAGAGAACTATCTACAATGACTCCAAGATCTCTCTTGAGTAGTTGTAGCTAAATTAGTCCCCATCATATTGTATGTATCGTTGGGATTATTTTTTCCAATGTGCATTACTTTACATTTGTCAACAATAAACTTCATTTGTCATTTGGCTGCCCAATCACTTAGTTGGTGAGATCTCTTTGACGCTCCTCAGACTGTTTTGGTCTGAACTGTCTCAAGCAGTTTGGTATCATCTGCAAATTTTGCCACCTCACTGTTTACCCCTTTCTTTAGATCATTTATAAATAAGTTGAATAGGATTGGCCCCAGGACAGACCCTTGGGGGACCCTACTACTGACCTCTCTCCATTCAGAAAACTGACCATTTATTCCTACCCTTTGTTTCTTGTCTTTTAACCAGTTATCAGTCCTTGAAAGGACCTTCCCTCTTATCTCATGGCAACTTACTTTACTTAAGAGCCTTTGGTGAGCCCTTGTCAAAGGCTTTCTGGAAATCTAAGTACGCTATATCCACTGGAAAGAGTCAGTGTGGAAGTCCCACATGAAGGGTGAGGGTGAATGGTGCTAGCTGGAGAGAGACAGAGCATGTAGGTCCTGCCCCTTCAGCACCTCCTCCTCTCTCCTGGCTCCAGCCAGCGAAGCACTTCACCTGCTTTCGGATGGGGCTGGCCCCTAGCCAGGCCCAAGGACTTTTCACAAAATACACCCCGTGCTGCTGCACAAATTGCCCCTGCCACCCAGAGCCACCGGGGGAATTACAGGGCCAGGCTGATACACAAGCTCCTTAGATTCTGTCCCTGGAGGGGAACCTGTGTCTGCCTGTGGGGACTGCTGCTGATGGAGCAGTGAGCTGGGAGTTTGAGATGCATAGCTCTTGGGGCTGCCCTGTAGTTGAGTTTGAAAACCCACTGATGGGGAGGTGTCAGTCCCATCATGATCGCAGAATGCCCGGGCCAGGCACCACGTTACTTTTCAACTATGTTCTTAGAATCATTTAATTTGCTGGTTTGCTTTGTATAGAACTTTGTAATTATTTGAGCATCCCCTCCCCCTCACGTTTCCTACAGTTTGAGGCAGGTCAAAATAGAGGACAGAGCAGGAAGCACCCAGCCCACCAGCAAAGGAGACAGATTTGCTTTGGATAGGAGTAGCTGAGCAAACAGGAAAGGCCGGAAGGAAATACAGGAAAATAAATAGCACCTGATGACATACATCCTGGGTAGATTAAACCCCTATCACTATCTCCACATGCTGCCTTTTGCCTACATCTTAGCCCATCTGCAGAACCTACAGGATTAGTGGGTGTGATTGGTTCCCTTCCCACCCCAAGCTCACCTAATTGCCCACCAGACTGTTTTGGAAATTCCAGCTCAGACACAGAACCCTCTTGCCACAGGCAGCTGCTTCTGCCTGACAATTCAGGATAGACAAGGACTTTGCAAGTGGCTGATGTCTCTGGGTCATCGGCCCGTTGGCTGCAACTTGAAACTACAGCACTTTTGTACCTTCATGCTGCTCTTCAGCAGCTGTGGATTGCTCAGGTTTGGGCCCTCCCCCCCACTGGCTGCACACACATGGGTAAAGGTCACTCGGTCTGTGCTGTCATGGTGTCTCTGTGCCTCTCCACAGTGCTTTGGTTACAGGCTGCTCCTTAGTGCAAATCCCCTTCATCAGTCCGAGGCACAGTAGGAAGTAACACGGCAGGCAAAAGCAGGGGAAGAGTCGCTTCTAGTTTAGGCCTATTCCTCCCTCTGAGCTGTGAGCAGATAACCAGAGCAATTCATTCCGTTTCTCCAACTTCACTGGCCAGCCACCCTTGGAACTGCTCTCATTGACACTCTGGAATCTACGTGGCACAGAGCAGCTATAAAAGCTGTGCGCACAATGCCTGGCTATTGATTCTAGGGTGATGTCAGACCAGGAGTGGCAGAAACTGCTCTCAGCTGTGACTTGGCCAGTCTCCATTTACAGTTGCATGTTGAGACCTCTGTCCCATTGAATGTCTGGCCATGGTCATTTTCTCTCTTTCAAGTTTTTTAATGTCATGTGGTAGCAAGCCAAGTGTCATACAGCAGACTAGAGCTCATCCATCAACACTATTTCCTTTATCAACCAAATTTGTAATCTCATAAATCAGCTTGACAGGATTGGTTTTCCATAAACCCATACAGAGTGGCATTAGCTCTAATTTTTAATCAATCAGCTGCTCTGTTATCTTGCCCAGGATTTGTGTCAGATGGCGAGGCCTATAATTAGCCAGGTAATCCCCTTTACCCTCTTAAATATTGGCACAGCATTAGTTTTTTTTTCTAGCCTCCTAGATCTTGCTCAGTGTTCCAAGACTCAAAATCAAAAGTAACAATCCAGTAAACTCCTCAGCCAACTCTTTTAAAACTCTTGCATGCAAGTTATCTGGGCCTGCTGATTTAAAAATAACTTTAAACCACTTATAGTAGCAGTTCCAGAGATATTAGTGGATTGGAAAAATGGTTATATGATTGCATCTGTTTTCTCGTAAATATAGCACATTTATTGAACACCATTGCTAGGAGTCTTTTTGTTTCTAATTTGTTCCTAATTTTGATTGCCCTTGAATCTGCTGGCCGTACATTTTTCCTTGTCCCTTTGACTCCCTTATCAGTTTTCTAGAATTCCTGGCTTGTGATTTATATTCATTATTTTAAATTTCCCTTTTTTATACAAACTTTGTACCAGCTTTCCTTTCCACTTGATTCCAAGTCAGTTTTTTTTTTAATTGATTTAACCTTGTTCTTTAATTGTGACTTTTTGAAAGTGTTCTTGATTCCCAACCATCCTTCACATGAAATTTTTCTGAGCTGCTTTGGCTTAGTTGTCAGCTCTGTGAAACTGGCCCTTTGAAACACCAAGCGTGAGTGTATATAGAAAGCATGTGTGTATGTATATATCAGGCAGTTATAGATTTAGGTCTCTGGCACCTTCCTCTGAAGTTGCTGGCACTGGCCAGCCACTGTAAGACGACACTGGGCCAAGAGTTGAACTGGGATGAGAATTGAGACTTGTTTGACAGCTTTCTGCTTCACTACACCCCATATTTTTGGGGTAACCACATTTTCATATTTAAATACGTAACGTTCAGAGATGTTAACTACAAGTGCTGCTGCTAAGCACATCTAGCACCGTACCCCTCCGGTTCAAGTATCAAGGGGTTCCATTGTTCAGTGAGCCATTAACGCTCCTTTGAAGTGGCACAGGGAGATATTTCAACTTTGACACCCGTGAAATGGAATTAGCAGTTCATTCTCTAGAGTTTAAGGAGCTATACATTTGTGCTGTTTGTTTTATTGATGGCAAACTGGACTGTTGAACTGTGGGAGCTAACTTTAGCGTCTGTCTCTCTCCAAAGAGGAAACTCATTTTTTGAGCACACAAGTGGGTGGTTTCTCCTCCACATCCCCCCACCATAAGCCCCTTACAACCAGCCAATATCACAAAACACTGAGTACCTTTTCAAGTGACTGAGGTTTTTTTTTTTTTACAAGTCCTTGCAAGTACAAGGGAAAAAAACTTTGCAGCCCAAAAAGAAGCCTTTGGACTGTTACACTCCTCAGCCTGCAGCTATAACAGCTTCGTCACTCCAATAAAACCCAGGAGACAAGAACTGGAGTGGTGAGATGCTGCTGCAGACACAGGTCACCCTGTGCAGAGAGGAAGGAGCTGTCAGGTGATGACTGGTGCAGTGGCCATTCCCTCTGGAGGCATACACAGCTATCTTACCATTATGGCTTCTAGGTTAAGTGTTACATTGAAACTGCCCTCCCAGTGCCATGTGATCCAGAATTGGCAAGAACCATATTTAAAGAAAGCAGGATGCATGCTGGGAATGCAATTTGCTACAACAGCATCTGACAAGGACACTCCCAATCTAAAACAAGAACAACTTGGCAAAGTTCTTGGGAATTTCATTTGCTGAAGAAACAGTCCTAAAGAGAGAAAGGAAAAGTCACCACTGTCCTGGCCAGCACTATGAAGTGAACAATTCCCAGAGGGCAAATCCAAGGTACAAAAAACAATTAGTGGCTGATTACTATATCTAATCAATACTGTACAATCTATGGTAGGGGTTCTCAAACTTTGTGATACCGTGACACCCTCCCCCCCCCAAGTTGCTTGCCACCCTCGGGGGGGTCAGGACCCCCCAGTTTGAGAAATGCAGATCTATGGGATAAATAATCCCTTGCCAGATGTGTTACTATAGCAGCAAAGTAACATCTGAAATAATATAGGCAACAGGAAGCAGACCTGTTGTATTCTTCAGAGCAGCTTTTTCTACACTATGGAATGAAATCATGAACATTGTCAATTTTCTTGTGTCTAAGTACAGCCCAACACAGCTGAGTCTGGGAACATCTTGTTCTGCATTTTAATTAAACCTGGAGTTATGTGCAGCCAGTGCAAACATGGACAAGACGAACAACCACAAGAGCATCAGTTCAGAATCCCTCCCTCCCCTTGTGTCAGTGTGGTTGAGTCTAATTCGTCTTTCAGATCAGTTAGCGGTTTGTAAAGCCTCCATTTCCCACAGCAGCAGCAGCAGCTGCTCTAGGACTGTGCCCTGTTGCTGGACATAGCATTGACTACTTTTGGCTTCCCCTCTGCACTTGGAAGGCAAAGGTCTGGAACGAGGGGAGGCCCCATAATCAGCAAGAGAAATAAACTGGAGTTACTCCGAGGACTTATTTTATTGAATTTTTATTTGCATGAGGAGTTGAAACAATCTTTAGGGATTTACTAAACAGGAACTGTTCAAGTCAAACAAACTATAGTTAGCAGGGGATGTGGGGGGAGGGTACACAGCAAT